TTTAAATTTTATGTAGCAACACGGCAAGTAACTGTCACGTAAATTACAGATTCATCCTGCATAAAACTTGTAATTGGTCTGCCACTTAGCATTAAGATGGAGTTCCTAAATAGGTGAAAAATACATGGTTCACTCTGGGCAAGCAAGCAATACTCAGTTATCAGGAACCTTTTTTTTTTTTTTTTTTTTTTTTGAGACAGGTCTCACTTGTTTCCAGGCTACATGAGTGCCGTGGCGTCAGCCTAGCTCACAGCACCTCAAATTCCTGGCTTGAGTGATCCTTCTGTCTCAGCCTCCCGAGTAGCTGGGACTACAGGCATGCGCCACACATGCCGGCTAATTTTTATATATATATCAGTTGGCCAATTAATTTCTTTCTATTTATAGTAGAGACAGGCTCGCTCTTGCTCAGGCTGGTTTGAACTCCTGACCTTGAGCAGTCCGCCCGCCTCGGCCTCCCAAGAGCTAGGATTACAGGCGTGAGCCACAGCGCCTGGCCAGGAACTGAAGATGAGAGAACTAAGGCTTCATTACAAGAAATGACTTATCCAAGGTCACACATACACTTAAATTGAATCATATCTCTTTGTGCCACAGAAAGACAGAAAACCAGTAGACAGTGGCACCGCAGAAAGGGCCCTGTCTTTAGTGTCTGGGAACTACTTGCGTATCTATTTTCTTATTTATAAAATGAGGATGGTATTGACAATATTGATAATACTTCTTCCCTACATGTTAATGTTAAGGCCAATGCAGTGATTTGGTCAATCGCCCAATCATTTCCTCATCAGGAATTTCATGGAAGCACAATATTTTTGGTGCCAAACAAAACAAAACAAAACAAAAAACCCCACAAAACCCTAGAAATTAAATCAAATGAAATCAATAAGATATATATGTGTGTGTATGTGTGTGTGTGTGTACTTACATACACATATATAAATGTTATAAACCCATAAATATATATACATTGTGAACCCATTTAAACGTAAAATAGGCCAGGCATGGTGCTCACGCCTGTAATCCTAGCACTCTGGGAGGCTGAGGTGAGTGGATCACTTGAGCTCAGGAGTTCAAGACCAGCCTGAGCAAGAGTGAGACTCCGTCTCTACTAAAAATATAAAAACTAGCCAGGCATCATGGGGTGAGCCTGTAGTCTCAGTTACTCGGGAGGCTGAAGCAGGAGGGTCGCTTGAGCCTGGGAGTTTGAGATTGCTGTGAGCTAGGCTGACGCCATGGCACTCTACTCAGGGCAATGGAGTGAGAATCTGTCTCAAAAAAAAAAATTAATAAAAAAAATAAAATAGAGTCTGTGGCTGCGACACTCTCTGGTAAAGGCATGTAGTTAGTGGCCGAGACCTGTGGGCTGGGCTGATACAAGCTCCTAGTGGAGGCAGGGGAGCTGAGCTGGAGCCAGGGCCAGTACAGTGGAGTAGCTGCATTGACCAGCACTGCCGCAGAATTTGCAGCCATGTTTTGCAAGCCATGAAGCATACGGAGCCCCAAGTAAAACAAGTTTTTCAAAGTCTACCAAAATCTGCTTTTAGTGGTGGCTATTCTAGAGGTGGGTTGGAACTCAAAATGACAAAATGAGAAGCAGCATTAATACTAGGTCTAAGCCCTACTACCAATAAAGGAAAAATGAGAGATCTCATGGACAAATTACGTTAGATCACCCAGACAAAGGAGGATCTCCTTATGTAGCAGCCCAAATCAATGAAGTTAAAGATTTACTAAAAGGTCAAGCAAAAACTGAACAATTGTTCTCCAGTACATGAAAGCTCAGTTTAAGAATTGAGAATACAACACAATTAGCCCAAATACAGTTCAGACTGAAAAAGCGCAAAGACCAAAAGGCGACTTCCGGTCGTGGACGTGGGAAGACGGGAAAGAGCTTTTGGATTCAGCTCCAACCTCAACGTGGCTGAGACAAGCTCTGTGGCGTCTCCTGGAACCTGGGCCGGGAATCCTGAGCGCGCGCGTTGCCTTGGTTCCTCTAGTCCACCAGCCCGCTATGGATCCCGGCAGGGGCCCGTTTCCCCAGGCGAAGAGGGTGGCGATCAGCCGGAGGAAGCCCCTACGCTTTCCACTTCACCCTTTTCATTCCCCGCCGCAACCCAAGCGAAAGAAATGAAGTGTCTGGGAGGCCTCTCAGTTGGCCATGGACACGTCCGACCCCCTGTAGGTGTTGACTTAATGCCTCCCACGTTCGGATGGCGAAGGATTAGGGTCCTGAAGTCGAGTCCTGCCGCAAAGAACCGCCATTCTTACCTTGCAAGATGGGAAAGAGAACTAAGAACTCAGCTTCCGGTTTATAAGTAATCACGGGAAGGTCTCGGAGTCTCACTTCCTTCCTGGTCTTGGGCATCATGGGAAATGTAGTTTTCTCCTCCATCAAAGAAATGTCAAAGTCCTGTGTAGTGAGGTTTTTTTTTTTTTTTTTTTGAGACAGTCTCGCTCTGTTTGCCCAGGCTATGAGTGCCGTGGCGTCAGCCTAGCTAACAGTAACCTCAAACTCTGGGGCTCAGGACAGTGGGCAAGGGAATATACGTAATCTTAAGATAGTACCCCCACGATATGCTGGAAAAAAAAATTTAAATGACTTGCCATACGAGTGCTGTTTTCGTATATATCAATAAAGTCAATTAAAATTAAAGAAAGAAAAAAAATCTGGGCTCAAGTGCCTCAGCCTCCTGAGTAGCTGGACTACGATTACAAACGTGATGACACTCAGCTAATTTTTCTACTTTTGGTAGAGACTGGAGTCTCATTCTTGCTCAGGCTGATCTCAAACTCCTGATTTCTCTCACCTTGGCCTCCAGAGTGCTAGGCCTCTAAAATAAATCTTTTTTTTTTTTCTTTTGTTTTTGAGACAGAGTCTCACTCTGTTGCCCACGGTAGAGTACTAGGGCGTCAGCTAGCTCACAGCACCCTCAGACTCCTGAGCTCAGGCAATCCTTCTGCTTCAGCCTCCAAGTAGCTGGGACTACAGCAATGCACACCATGCCTGCTAATTTTTCTATATATATTTTTAGTTGTCAGATAATTGCTTTATCATTTAGTAGAGATGGGGTCTGTCGCTCTAGTTCAGGCTGGCTCGAACTCCTGACCTCGAGCGATCATCCTGCTATTGGCCTCCCAGAGTGCTAGGATTACAGGCGATGAGCAACCACGCTGGGCCTCTAAATAAAATCTTAAGGCTTCTTCCCACCGGCTGACTAAATGGACCCTCTTGGCCAAAGGGATGCCCTAAAACTGAGTAACTGGCTATAAGACATGCGTTTCCCTTGTTGTAGATATTCTTTGTAACTCATTAAGCCTAAATTTAAAACTTCCCTCACTCTTTTGGGAACTGAGGCCTGCATGCTGCCTTGAGCCGGGTGGTCATGAGGGGCAGGGGAATGCTTTTGTTGTTTATGTTATAGGAGAATAGCTCAGCTGAACTGTGGCTCATCTCAAGGCTGGGCACCTGGCAGTTGGAGGTCTGAGTGGGCTCCCACATGGGCGGAGGTCAGAGGCTTTATCTTCAGCAGAGATGGGGGGTCTCACTCTTGCTCAGGCTGGTTTCGAAGATCCTGACCTCAAGCAATCCCCCACTCGGCCTCCCAGAGTGTAGGATTACAGGCGTGAGCCACCACACCTGGCCTATTTATATTAGCTTTGTGAGCAAGCCCTCTTAGAAACTGCAACTGAAGAAAATATATACAATGAATGAATAAAATGCGAGGTTGCTTACTTGTGTCCCTCAAAAATTCTGACAATCTCAGAGGTCTTTCACCCAGTAAATGCACAAAATATTTGTTAAGGGGCCGGGCGCTGTGGCTCACGCTGTAATCCTAGCTCCTTGGGAGCCGAGGCGGGCGATTGCTCAAGTCAGGAGTTCGAAAACCGCTGAGCAATGAGCGAGACCCGTCTCTACTATAAACAGAAAAAATTAATGGGCAACTGATATATATATATAAAAATTAGCCGGGCATAGTGGCACATGCCTGTAGTCCCAGTACTCGGGAGGCTGGAGCAGAAGGATCACTCGAGCCAGGAGTTTGAGGTTGCTGTGAGCTAGGCTGATGCCACGGCACTCACTCTAGCCTGGGCAACAAAGTGAGACTCTGTCTCAAAAAAAAAAAAAAAAAAAAAAAGGGCGGCGCTGTGGCCACGCCTGTCAGCCTATCTCTTGGGAGGCCGAGCGGGCGGATTTGCTCAAGGTCAGGAGTTCAAAACCAGCCTGAGCAGAGCGAGACCCGTCTCTACTATAAATAGAAGAAATTAATTGGCCAACTGATAATATATATAAAAAATTAGCCGGGCATAGTGGCACATGCCTGTAGTCCCAGCTATCGGGAGGCTGAGGAGAAGGATCACTCGGCCCAGGAGTGTGAGGCGTTTGTGAGCTAGGCTGACGCCACGGCACTCACTCTAGCCTGGACAACAAAGTGAGACTCTGTCTCAAAAAAAAAAAAAAAAAAAAAAAAAAAAAAAATTGTTAAATGAACCGACATAGCAATAAAAAACAATTATGACTCAAGGAACTTTCATAGAAAGAAAGAAAGAAAACATAAATGAACCTATTTGTGTTTGTTGTGGTATTGCAAAACATTCATTAGTTGGGCAAAATATATCAATATGTGGTTATAAAGTAAACAGATTAAACACTTCATTTTGCCTATATAAATGCTGTTAATCAGTGCAGCACCGTAGTCCACAAATCAGACAGTTTTTCGAGACCATAAATCATTTTAAGCCTCAATGAAAGTTCCCTGTGAGGTGGTATTTAAGATGAGAGAACTGCTGGCCGGATGGCTCACAGCCTATAATCCTAGCACTCTGGGAGGCTGAGGCAAGAGGATCACTTGAGGTCAGGAGTTCGAAACCAGCCTGAGCAAGAGCGAGACCCCGTCTTCTACTATAAATAGAAAAATTAATTGGCCAACTAGTGTATATATATAGAAAGAAATTAGCCGGGGCATGGTGGCACATGCTTGTAGAGTCCCAGCTACTCAGGAGGCTGAGGCAGAGGGATCGCTTGAGCCCAGGAGTTTGAGGTTGCTGTGAGCTAGGCTGATGCCACAGCACTAACCTGGGTAACAAAGTGAGATCTGTCTCAAAAAAAAAAAAAAACAATGTAGCCTTCTTACTCATTTGTAACTCCAGCACTTTATTTACGCTATTCCATTTTCATTCCTCTTAAGTAGATTTTAAACTTAGGAAAGGTCAACACTGTTTTTGTATCCTTTATGTGCAAAACACACGATGGAAAGATGGTATCACTTAGCGAAGGAGCTGTATGCTCAAGCAAGTCACCTTTGTAAATTTGGGATGAAACTAAACTTCAGAGATTATGTGGCAAGTTCCCTTTATGCATAGCATGGCAGGGATTCTCCCAAGCTTTTCTAGAGTCCCTGACCTCTAATGTAAACTCTGGCTGGGCGTGGCAGCTCACGCCTATAATCCTAGCCCTCTGGGAGGCTGAGGCAGGAGGATCGCTTGAGCCCAGGAGTTTGAGGTTGCTGTGAGCTAGGCTGACACCAGGGCACTCTAACCTGGGTAACAGAGGGAGACTGTCTCAAAAAAAAAAAAAGTAAACTCCTTCAGGAAACATCACACCACATTTTACATGTTAGGAAGGAGACATGGCTTATTTCCCTACTCAAGTAAAGTGTGTTTATACACTCGCAGCAACAAGTCTCACTCTCACTTTATCCACAAAGGAAAACTACACAAAACCAGCTACCAGGACTGGTTCTCCCCCCTTCTCATTTATTGTAAAAGTAAGACACCACACAAAGACCACTGAGAATACCATAAAAAGAAAATCAGTATCTCTGGGCCACTCCTGGCAACTCCTTATGCAAAAGAAAAAGGCACCTGCCAAGAACAGGCCTCACAGATCATCATTAAACAAACTGTTTGCTAGCTGCCCATTTACAAGGCCATGCAAATTTTAACTATGTCTAGCACCTAAAACTGAAGCCTTTTGGATTCCACACTAACAACATTACACATTTATCTTTCCAAGTAATAAAACTGTAGACACACAGAATCAAACACCCTTCCACCTACCCGGCTACATCCATGGAATCGATGATTCCTTCACTCCCTTTTTACCCTCAGAGGCCCCTCATTTTATGGAGAATGTAGGTTTCCTGGGCCTCACAAGAATGTAACCTCTTTGTCTCATCAAGCCCCTTCCTTCTCCTTCTTTCTGCATCCCTTTAAAATGCTAAAGATTCCAATTTGCCCTTCAGAAAAGACAGCCACAGCTCTCTGTGATTTCTCCATGAGTGCATCCTAAACTTTGGCTTCATAAACCTCCACTGATTGAGATTTTTGCCTCTGTCACTTTATGTCAACAATATGACAAATAACTCATAATAACCTATTTCTAACTATACCATATCATTAGTATAGATCATTTTTACCACAAACATGATAATCTAATAGAAAATCCAACTCAAAAGTGTCATTTTTTTCCTCTGAAGCAGTAATGAGACACTGCTCTGGTGGGTAAATAAATGTTCTATAGGACAGGTTTGATGTGTTATTTCTTTTAACGTCCACAATCACCCTTTCCGGTTAAACCTTTATTCCCATTAATATGTGAAGAAACAAAGCAGAGAAAAGTAAATCCAGAACCCTTTATTTTCAATTAACAACTCTCTGGTATGCAGAAACTTTTAGAACCCGAGTATAAAAAGAATATATTCACAGCATTCAAGCTTAAACTGAAAATCCAATTTATAGTCTCTAAATCTTACCATTTTGCGAAGTTTAACCACCCGAGTGCCACCATTCTTGTCACCACCAACTGGTTTTGTAACAGTGGCGAGGACCTTCTCCTTCTTTTTCTTTTCAACCTACAAGGACATAAATGCATCAAAACGTTAAAAGAATATGACAATTAAGGTTAAGACATAATGGTCAGTGGTTCTCCTCTTCTCTTACCTTGGATTTAGCCACCGAGTATTTCCTCTTGTACATGGCCTTCCTAGAGTACATGGCAGATCGGGAATATCGGCCGATTCCTCTGACGAGAACAGGATTTCGGCTGCAGTGTGGCTTCCCCTTCTTAACCTTTTTAGCCTTGAGGTTAGCCTTTTTCACTTTACCACCTGCATCAGCCTTCTTGGCATCAGCCTTCTTGGCTTCAGGTTTCTTGGCTTCAGGTTTCTTAGCTTCAGGTTTCTTGGCTTCAGGTTTCTTCTCTTTAGTATCCGGCTTCTTCTCAACTTTTTCACCCGCCATCTACCAATATTTGGGGAAGGGGAGAGCATTTCACCAATCATCTCAGTAACAAGGCAATACTGAAATTGTATGTATGTGGGCTCGCCGGACTACAATTTCCCCACCCTCACAAGCCTTTTTTAGGGTTGTCTCCTAAAACAATACAAACTTCTTAGTTGGGACTACCTTACGCATGTTAAGTTTTTGGTAAATGTTAAAGCGGTCAAAAGTCCCTATCCCAGTATTTTACTCCTGTTCTGTGAACTGGAAAAGAAAGCCTTTAAAAAGCCTCCGCAACTAGGAGGTAGCGAGACAAGAACTTAAAACCGTTTGCTTTCAAACCTGCCCTCAATTTTTTTTTAGACAATTGTCTCATACATGAAAGCTCAGTTTAAGAATTGAGAATACAACACAATTAGCCCAAATACAGTTCAGACTGAAAAAAGCGCAAAGACCAAAAGGCGACTTCCGGTCGTGGACGTGGGAAGACGGGAAAGGAGCTTTTGGATTCAGCTCCAAACCTCAACGTGGCTGAGACAAGCTCTGTGGCGTCTCCTGGAACCTGGGCCCGGGAATCCTGAGCGCGCGCCGTTGCCTTGGTTCCTCTAGTCCCACCAGCCCGCTATGGATCCCGGCAGGGGCCCCGTTTCCCCAGGCGAAGAGGGTGGCGATCAGCCGGAGGAAGCCCCTACGGCTTTCCACTTCACCCTTTTCATTCCCCGCCGCAAACCCAAACGAAAGAAATGAAGTGTCTGGGAGGCCTCTCAGTTGGCCATGGACACGTCCGACCCCCTGTAGGTGTTGACTTAATGCCTCCCACGTTCGGATGGCGAAGGATTAGGGTCCTGAAGTCGAGTCCTGCCGCAAAGAGGAGATATTACTCTAGCTGGCACAGAGTGAGACTCTGTCTCAAAAACAAAAGAAAAAAAAAAAAGATTTTATTTAAGAGGCCCTAGCACTCTGGGAGGCCAAGGTGAGAGAAATCAGGAGTTTGAGATCAGCCTGAGCAGAATGAGACTCCAGTCTCTACCAAAAGTAGAAAAATTAGCTGAGTGTCATCACGTTGTGAACTCGTAGTCCAGCTACTCAGGAGGCTGAGGCACTTGAGCCAGATTTTTTTTCTTTTTTAAATTTAATTGACTTATTGACTATATAGAATAACCCAGCACTCGTATGTGCCAGTCATTTAAATTTTTTTCCAGCATATCGTGGGGTACATATCTTAAGATTACGTATATGCCCTTGCCCACTGTCCCTGAGCCCCAGAGTTTGAGGTTACTGTTAGCTAGGCTGACGCCACGGCACTCTAGCCTGGGCAAACAGAGCGAGACTGTCTCAAAAAAAAAAAAAAAAAAAAACCTCACTACACAGGACTTTGTACATTTCCTTTGATGGAGGAGGAAAACTACATTTCCCATGATGCCCAAGACCAGGAAGGAAGTGAGACTCGAGACCTTCCCGTGATTACTATAAACCGGAAGCTGAGTTCTTAGTTCTCTTTCCATCTTGCAAGGTAAAATGGCGGT